CTTTGGATGTGTGCGTCCCTTTATCGCAAGTGCCTGGGCTCTGCTTCTGGTTCCAGCTTCTTGCTAAGGAGCATCCTAGAAAGCAGCTGATAGACAATGGCCAAAGTAGTTGAATTCCTACTACCCGCACAGAAGTTTCTGGCTTCAGCATAGCCCAGTCTTAGTTATTGCAGGCATTTGGGGGGAATGAGCTAGCAGAGGGGAGCTGTTTCTCTGCCCTTAAAATCAAAAATTTCAAATCCCAAGTTTTTTATTGTGTTTATCTCCGCTTGGGTGTAAAAAGTGAAGGGACCCACAAGTGCACTCTCAATGTGGAGAAATGCTCATGAACATGGACTTCAGGATAGTGGCCACCACTTGTGTAGAGTGATGCAACCAGAGGAGGATTCACAGGCATGTTCAATTCTCTCTTCTAAGCTGGGATGCATAACCATTTGTTGCCATGTTTTGGTATCTCATTATACATTTTTAAAAAATATTTGAGGCCGGCGCCGCGGCTCACTAGGCTAATCCTCCGCCTGCAGCACTGGCACACCGGGTTCTAGTCCCAGTTGCCGTTCTTCCAGGCCAGCTCTCTGCTGTGGCACGGGAGTGCAGTGCAGGATGGCCCAAGTGTTTGGGCCCTGCACCCCAAAGGAGACCAGAAGCACCTGGCTCCTGATCAGCACGATGCACCGGCCGCATGGCCACTGGAGGGTGAACCAACGGCAAAAGGAAGACCTTTCTGTCCACTCTGCCTGTCAAAAAAAGTCAAGTTACAGAGGACAGACAGAGGCAGAGAGAAACCTTCCATCCTCTGGTTTACTCCCCAGCTGGCTGCCAACAGCCAGGGCTGGGTCTTCCATGTGGGTGCAGGGGCCCAAGGACTTGGGTCATCTTCAGCTGCTTCCCCAGGTACATTAGCAGGGAGCTAAATAGAAGTGGAACAACTGGAACTTGAATCGGTGCCCATATAGGATGCCAGCACCGCAGATGGTGCCACAGCACCAGCCCCAGTAGTGTTGTTTAGGAGGCTGGCACTGTGGTGTAGCAGGTAAAGCCTCCGACTGCAGTTCTAACATGCAATATGGGCACCGTTCCCAGCTGTTTCACTTCCAATCCAGCTCTCTGCTAATGTGCCTGGGGAAGCAGTCAAAGATGGCCCAAGTTCTTGGGCCCCTGCATCCACATGGGAGACCCAGAGGAAAATCCAGAATCCTGGCTTGGGATCGGCCCAGCTCCAGCTGCAGCCATTACAGTCATTTGGGGAATGAACCAGTGGACGGAAGACCTCTTAACTCTGCCTTCCAAAAAAAAAAAAAAAGCTTGAATGTATTTGTGCAGGAAAGTCACGTTTGACTTTTAGGTTGTAGGTTGCTTGGGGGAAACTGAGTGGTTTACACTGTATTTGGTTTCACAGCTTTTCAATTATGTACCTTTGTATTATATCTACTTGAGAGAGGGGCACAGCATTTCCTCATACTTTCCACTTACCCTTTTAAGTTCGGTAATTCAAATTTATTTATTGGGGTTGGCAGTGTAGCACAGTGGGTTAAGCTACTGCCTGCTGCCAACATCCCATGTTCCAGTTCCATACCCAGCTGCTCCACTCCCAATCCAGCTCCCGAGTACACCTGGGAAAGCAGGGAAGATGGCCTAAGTGCTTGGGCCCCTGCACCCACATGGGAGACCTGGGCAGTATTTGAAGTTCCTGCCTTCAGCCAGAACCAGAAGATGGATGTCTCTGTCCCTCCCTGTCATATTCTGCCTTTCAAATATTTGAAAGGTACTGTGACATACAGAGGGTGAGGGATCAATTTTCCATCCACTGGTTCACTCCCCAAATGGCTCCAACAATGGGGCTAGCCAGGGACTAGGAACTTGACCTAGGTCTCCCATGTTGGCTGCAGTGGCCCAAGCATTTGGGCCACCTTCTGTTGCTTTCCCAGGAGCATCAGCAGAGCAGCTGGGACTCAAACCAGCACTGATATGGGATGGCAGTATCAAGAGCAGTGCCTTAACCCAGTATGCCAACACTGGCCCCTGGCCTTGTCCTTCAGTCACCCTTTCTTCTAGTCAGTTCTTTTGGCTTCTCTTCTCCCTTGAGCTTGAACTCCACCCACACTCAACCAAAACTGAAAAAGCACTGCTTTCAAGGTTTTATGTTCCCAAACTAGAATATACCAACCATGCATATTATTTCTTCTTGCAGTACAATTCCTTGGTACCTCCCAAAATATGGTCTACTACACTACTAAAATGCAGATTTGGGGGATTTTTGGCCTAGTGGTTAAGCTGCAAGTCAGGATGCCTGGATTCCCTGTCCAAGATAGAATTTCCAGAAGGCAGCAGGGGACAGCCCAAGTGGTTGAGTCTCCATGTGGGACCAACTGGGCTGAATCTGAGCTCCTGGCTTCAGCCGCGTCCAGCCAGCAGTTACAGGCCTTTAGGGAGTATAACAACAGATGAGGAGCAAAATTCCAAAGAAATTCAAGATTTCACCTAGAGGTCACAGACTCAACCACAAGTGCCAGTTAAAGTTCCAGCTCCCTGCAAATGCACCTGGGAAAGCAGTAAAAGATGGCCCAACTCCTTGGGCCTCTGCACCCACATGGGAGATCCACAGTTCCTGGCTTCTGGCTTAATTCTGGCCTCAGCTGCAGCCATTTGGGGAGTGAACCAGTGGATGGAAGCTTTCTCTCCCCTTTTCTCTGCATCTCAAATCTTTAGAAAAAAGCTACCCTTCACACCACTAAAGTGGAAATTCCTTGAGATCAGGTCTTGTTTTGATCACTTAATGTGCTCTGTACTTAAATCTGCCATGAAACAGATACAGTGACTGTCAAACAGAAAACTGGAGAGGCTAGGTAACTTCCCCACTCAGAGGTAGAACTTACAAAGAGTCAGTCCTCTTAGGCTCTTAACCAGTTGGCTTTACATAGTGGGGTGCTTGCACTCAAAAAACTGCTCATTTCACAGGCAAAATTTACTGAATCAATAAATCTAGATTCTAACCCAGTTCTACTTGCAGCAACAAACCTTATTAACTTAATTCATGTAAAGCAGGTAAGCCTGCGTACTCAAGCTACTTAAATAAGCTAAATGTGTGTATTACAGCCAGTGACTACCTTCATCATTCACGCTGCCATGGAGAAGTAGAGGCTACACCAGAAACTGGGTCAAGGGCTACAGGGCCCGGAAGTACCCACTTGACCTGAATCAGCTTCATAAACTGAGAAGACACCGCAGTTAAAGGCCAAGACAGCAATCAACTACTACCCCTAAAGTCTATTTTAAAAATGGAGGTTGATGGGTCAGCGCCATGGCTCACGTGGTTAATCCACCACCTGCAGTGCCGGCATCCCACATGGGCACCAGGTTCTAGTCCTGGTTGCTCCTCTTCCAGTCCAGCTCTCTGCTGTAGCCCGGGAAGGCAGTGGAGGATGGCCCAGTTGCTTGGGTCCCTGCACCCGCATAGAAGACCAGGAAGAAGAACCTGGCTCCTGATCGGCATAGTTCCGGCCATAGCGGCCATTGAGGGGGGAGGCGGGCACAGAAGGAAGACCTGTATCTGTAAAACACACACACACACACACCCCACGGTGGGTGGGTGGGGCTGGATGGGGCCGGCCAAGTCCCTGCTGCTCCACTTCTGATCCAACCCTTTCCTACAGCTTGGGAAAGCAGAAGATGGCCCAATTTCTTGGGCCCCCACACCCACATGGGAGACCCAGAGGAAGCTTCTGATTAGCACAGCTCCAGCCATTGCAGCCACCTGGGGAATGAACATCTTTTTCTGCCTCAAATGAGTAAATCTTGAATATTAAAAAAAAAAGGGGGGGGTCACGTGGTTGAGTGTCATTTACTTGGGAGACCCAGACCTTGGCATTCCAGGTTCCACACTACTGCAATGAAAAGCCCTTTAACACTCAGAAATCACTGAGTTTGGTGATTGCCAAATAGTGAAACTTAAACCAATTGTTAGCAATGTTAGGTTGCGAAGTACTGATCTCTGGAGACCAAAATCTAACAGCATACTCTGCATTTAGAATGCAAATCGCTAAAATATGGCAGAGGGGAAGGACTACTAGGAGAGAGCTAGCAAGACCTACTATGAGAAAAGGGTAGGTTGAGCCTCTTAGCACTCCAAGAATCTTGGAGCAGTCACATACACCCACCCAGGGCCCTATGCATTTAACCAAGCAAGGGGCATTTGCATCACACCAGGCTTAACCTTCATCACTAATTTTCTTACATTTAGTAAGACACAGTCATTGCAATATAGAGGAAGTGTCACCAAACTATCTCATGTACCTTCCCAAAGTGTGTATCCAGTTTGCCTATATGGTCTTGACAAATTAAGGATTTGCCACAGCTAATTCTAGTACACCCATCAGTACTCACCCCAAGGTTGTCAGTTGTTTTTCCAGTACCAAGTTAGAGAGATTTCTAATAGGCCCCCACCGTACTTTAAAATGCTCAGCCTCTTCCCTGAAATATTTTGACTAGACACAAAGACTTTTTTCAATACAAGGTATGACCTCTGAACTACTGGCCTACGTATAACCACTCACCGTCCAGATGAAATAAGGTACACCCTTCTCCACACTTGGAACTTCTGAACAGACTGTGTAATAGCTTAAGGTATCTAAGCCATGTATTTCCTTTTTAAGGCCTCCTCCAGTCTAAGTCACTTTCCCATGAGTACCTCACCCAACATTTATCCTTGTTCTTAGTTTCCCTTTACCCAGTTTTAACTTCCTTTTAAAGCAGAACAACTTAGGCTTGCCAAGTTGAATTAACATTCAGAGGCCTAATACTCCCCACCCCCAACCCACACAGCTATGTCAAGGGGTGAAGAGGGGGCCAAGACAACGCACACAAAACTGAAGGTTTAACTTACATGGATCTGCTTTCTCTGCCACAGAAAGCTTATGGCACCACACCCCCACACACTTCAGTACTTGTCATGAAACACATACAACCCCCCTTCCCACCTTATCTGGCACAGATACGCAGTATACTACATAAACCATAGATTCCACTTTATTTTTCCAGAGGACAACTTTTCTTCAGCCCTTAAAGATTACACTCCTTACATGGGCTTTGGTGGAGGCCGTGGGGCAGCACCCTGAAACACAAAGGATTGAGAAGAGTAAATTAAAACCACTGATTCAAGGTCACCCTTTCAGCAAGAGAACTTGACCACTACTGTTCTCTCAACCTTGTGTGTCCAGGCTGTAAATGCTCAAAAAGCTAGCAGCTATGGAAGGAGACCACGTTTCACCTGAAAACACTCTGCTAGTTGCCAAGGCCTTAACCTGATATTCCCTGGGGACCTCGGTTTTTCCCTCCACCACCCCTCTGGATGCCACATCCCCCTTTTGATACTCACAGCAGGTCTAAATCGCGGAGGTGGCGTCCGGTCCTTGCGGGCTTCACGAGATCGATTTCTGACCACCTTGCTGTGAATGGCGCAACTCACACAATAATGCAGCTTCACATACAGCTTGGGAAGCACATAGGCTGAGGAACAGGAAAATCACACAGCAGTAGCCTCCTTCAGCATCAGGCACTTCTATGAGGCTTTCTCACCCCAAATCTAAGTGCTTAGCTGTGACTGTTAAGTCTCACAAACAAAAGAAATGCACCATGGGGCCGGCGCTGTGGCGCAAAGGGTTGACGCCCTGGCATGAAGGGCCAGCATCCCATATGGGCGCTGGTTCTAGTCCCAGCTGCTCCACTTCCGATCCAGCTCTCTGCTATGGTCTGGAGGAAGCTCCTGATCGGCGCAGCTCTGGCCGTTGCAGCCAACTGGGGAGTGAATCAGTGGATGGAAGACCTCTCTGTGTAAACTCTTACAAATTTTGAAGGTTTTCTGGAGACTTTCACTGCCAGTCCATTGTCTCAAGCGTATAAACCACTCTCATGATTTAGGCGCTTCTCCTTTTACCAAGTTTCTACTCTGCAAGTTCATTCTGGAATCTCTTCCCCCAACGAGTCAAACTGACTCGAGCCACCGCATAAAACTTACACTCTCCCAGTTACCTCCGCCTGAAGTGCCAAGTGAGACACCCTTGTCTTGCCGGCAACGATCTCACCCATTTTGTCCCGTTATCGTACGTAACACGGATATAGAGATGTAAGCCAAGCAATGAAGATACCACTTAATGCTACCTTTGAAGTGTGTCATTGATACATCCGCCCTAGCCAAAACCCAGGAACTAAAGCTGTCGGAGAAGCAGGTGTAGACACTAGAACCTCGCCTCTCTCGCCCCGGTGGCTCACTCACCATCGAAAACGCTCGCTTCGGATATGTCCCTGACGGCCGCGGCCTCCACTATGTTGCGGATTACGAACTTCTTAATGGCCTTGTCCTTGGGCACGCAGCGAGCGCAGTTAGTGCAGCGAATAGGCTGCACGTGGCCGCGGCCCTTTTTCGCACGGCCGTTGTTTCTTCTTTTCTTTGTCTACATCGGGCGAAACGTCCTGTCAGCAGAAGGCTCTACCTCCCGCAGCCTCAGCCCCCTTCCGCCACGCTCGGCCGCGGCGTCTCCGGCCAGGCGCCCCCAGCCCCCTCCTCCCTCCGCGCCAAGGCGTGGAACACACACGCACTCTGTCCGCTCTCCCGCCACAGTCGAGGCTCTCGAGTCCCCACAACCCCAAAATCGCCTCTTCTCACGCCTCCAGGGGAGCCCCCGCGCCGACCACGCGACGGAACTCACCATCTTGGAACCGAGGACCTGAAAGAGGATCCAGCCTCCGTCCGGGCCCTCTTATATAGCGCGAGATCCCTACGCTCGCACAGGAGGAAATATTACAAGACAGCCTTCAAGAACGGCAACCCACTTTACTCAAAATTTGCTTCTTATTCAGCGTTCCCATTGATATACATGGTGATAGCGCGTGCCTAGTATGTATTTAAGTGTGGAACAAATACTCTCGGGACTATTTAACCTGATGGCGGAAGAAGACTAGAGTTACAGGTCTCCCAACATGCACGGCGACACCCTAACCCGGATGTAATTCTCGGCGGGATAATTTCCGGTTCACGCGGCACCAAACGCGGAAGTGTCCCCGGGCTAGGCCACAAGAAGCCTTGCCTTTTCGAGGCCAAAATGAGTAAGTTGCATGCTGGGAATTGTAGTACGAAGCGAAAAAGCCCCTGGCCCAAGTCCTCAGCCCGACAGCGGCGGTTCGCCACCGGGGGACGCCCTGAGCTCAATTTGACCGCACTGTCACTAGGTGTAGGATTGCGAAGTGAAAGACCTGGGAGGAAACGGGTTAGTATGAATCAGACTCCACAAAGACGAGACGAATGCACTGGTCTTGGGCTATTGCTCCTTCTTATGCCTGAATAATCATGTTAGTACAGTTACAGGCATTGGTAACTGCTTTTATAAATACTCGCTTAAACCTCAACAAAGCGGCTAAGGTCACACAGACTAATAAGAGTTGTTCTGATTCAATTCTGTTGTGCTCTCTGTCATCTAACAAATCGTTGGAGGTGTAGCTTGGACCGGCAACTTAAAAGTTTTTGACCCAGACCCATAGTCGAAATGCATCTTACAACAGAACCCAGTGTACACTTAAAATCACATATACGCAGCCGGCGCCGTGGCTCAATAGGCTAATCCTCCACCTTGCGGCGCCGGCACACCGGGTTCTAGTCCCGGTTGGGGCGCCGGATTCTGTCCCGGTTGCCCCTCTTCCAGGCCAGCTCTCTGCTATGGCCAGGGAGTGCAGTGGAGGATGGCCCAGGTGCTTGGGCCCTGCACCCCATGGGAGACCAGGAAAAAGCACCTGGCTCCTGGCTCCTGCCAGGATCAGCGCGGTGCGCCGGCTGCAGCGGCGGCCATTGGAGGGTGAACCAGCGGCAAAGGAAGACCTTTCTCTCTCTGTCTCTCTCTCTCACTGTCCACTCTGCCTGTAAAAAAAAAAAAAAAAAAAAAAAAAATCACATATACGCATAGAAAACTGAAACACAACCTTCATGAAACAACTTATCCTTACAACATAAGATGCAATGTTCTGTTCTCTTTTATTTTTTATTTTAAAAAGATTTACTTATTTATTTGAAAATCAGTGATAGAGAGGTCTTCCGTCCACTGGTTCACTCCCCAAAAGCCTGCAACAGCCAGGGCTGGGCAAGGCGGAAGCCAGGAGCCAAGAACGCCCTCTGGATCTCCTGTAAGGGTGGTAGGGACCCAAGTACTTGAGCCATCATCTGCTGCTTCCCAGGGTGTGCATTTGCTGGATCCAACGTGGATGTGTTCAAAGAAACCGCTCAAACAGAAGAGCCAAAATGCAAACAAGAAAAGCATTTTACTGTGCCATTGTGCCTCTCCAAATACCAGGCAGTTCCTTAGACAAAGGCATAATCGGATTTATTCCTCTGAAGGGGAAAATATCCTCTCTTTGCTTATTACTCTTCTTCCATTTCTTCTATAAATTTGCCTGCAATGCTGATGCATTTTCCTGGCTTGGAGGACCACTAAAGAAGTTTGACTTGAGCAAAGTCCAGAGCGAGTGAACCTTCCTAAAAGCTTCTGTTAACCTGGAACTTTTGAAAGGGATGAGTGGTGAAGATGACCTTTTATGGCATGTAATAGAAAAATGTCAATTTGAAGTTGAAAGACTTGGGTTTCACTATTGCTCTTTATAATGCAAGACAACCTATCTAAATCTGTTTCTTCATATGTACTATGAAGCTGATGAGCCTGCCCAGCTTCATTCACAGATCCTTTGCACATTGAGAAAGGTAAAGTATGTGAAAATACACTCCAAATTATATCGTGCTTTGCTTCAAGGATTGAGGAGCCCAAGCTTTATTGTAACTGGAGTCTGTCTTGGCTAAGGGAAGGAGGACATTTTACCACTGAAGACTCCAACCAGAAAGTCAAACCTATGTTTTTGAGGCACATTTATAATGGAAAATTGTATTAATTTCAGATGATAGTCTGAATTGCTATTCCTCATAGATCTAACTTCTCAGTTTCTATTAACTATTCTCTCAGGTTTGAAGATGGAAAATCTACAAATCATAGAAATAAGAGGGCCGGCACCGCGGCTCACTAGGCTAATCCTCCGCCTTGCGGCGCCGGCACACCGGGTTCTAGTCCCAGTTTGGGCACCAGATTCTGTCCCGGTTGCCCCTCTTCCAGGCCAGCTCTCTGCTGTGGCCCAAGAGTACAGTGGAAGATGGCCCAGTGCTTGGGCCCTGCACCCCATGGGAGACCAGGAGAAGCACCTGGCTCCTGCCATTGGATCAGCGCAGTGCGCCGGCCGCGGCAGCCATTAGAGGGTGAACCAATGGCAAAAGGAAGACCTTTCTCTCTGTCTCTCTCTCTCACTGTCCACTCTGCCTGTCAAAAAAAAAAAAAAATCACAAACAACATTTTTGCAATTAAGATTGTGTACGAGGTCAACACTGTGGCATAACGGGTAAAGCTGCTGCTTGTGACAATGACAGTGTCCCATGTGGTTGTTCCACTTCCCATCCAGCTCCCTGCTGGTGGCCTGAGAAAAGCAGCAATTGTTTGGACCACTGCCACCCATATGGGAGACCCAGAAGTAGCTCCTGGCTGCTGGCTTCAGCCTGGCCCAGTACTGGTTGTTGTAGCCATCTGGGGAGTGAACCAGCAGATGGAAGATGGATCTCTCTCTGTCTCCCTTTCTTATCCCCTCTCTGTGTAACTCTGACTTTCAAATAAAAATAAATAAATCTTGGGGCTGGCTCTGTGGTTTAGCAGGTAAAGCTGCTGCCTATGGTGCCTGTATCCCCATGAGTGCTGGTTGGAGTCCTGGTTGGCTGCTCCATCTCTGATCCAGTTCCCTGCTAGTGCACCTGGGAAAGCAGTGGAAGATCACCCAAGTACTTGGGCCCCTGCACCCACTTGGGAGACCTGGATGAAGCCTAGTCTAGCCCTGGTTGTTGCTGCCATTTAGGGAGTGAACCAGCAGATAGAAGATCTCTTTCTCTCTGTGACTCTGCTTTTTGTTTTTGTTTCTTTGTTTGTTTGTTTTGTTTTTATTTGACAGATAGAGTTAGACAGTGAAAGAGACAGACAGAGAGAAAGGTCTTCCCTCCGTTGGTTCAACCCCCAAATGGCCGCCACGGCCAGAGCTACGCGGATCCAAAGCCAGGAGCCAGGTGCTTCCTCCTGGTCTCCCATGTGGGTGCAGGGGCCCAAGCACTTGGGCCATCCTCCACTGCCTTCCTGGGCCACAGAAGAGAGCTGGACAACCGGGATTAGAACCCGGCGGCCATATGGGATGCAGGCCAAGTAAGGATTAACCAAGTGAGTGTTGGCCCCGTGACACTGCCTTTTGAATAAATAAGATAAATCTTAAAGGGGCCGGCTCCGTGACACAGTAGGTTAACCCTCCGCCTGCGGCGCCAGCATCCCATATGGCGCGCCAGTTCTAGTCTTGGCTGCTCCACTTCTGATCCAGCTCTCTGCTATGGCCTGGGAAAGCAGTAGAAGATGGCCCAAGTCCTTGGGCCCCTGCATCCACGTGGAAGACCCGGAAGAAGCTCCTGGTTTCTGGCTTCAGATCCGCGCAGCTCCGACCTTTGCGGCCATCAGGAGAGTGAACCAACGGAAGGAAAACTTTCTCTCTGTCTCTCCCTCTCACTGTCTGTAATTCTACCTCACAGATAAATAAATAAAAATCTTAAAAAAAATAGCTTCAGGAAAAGGCCAAAATGTAAAAAAAAAATCTTAAAAAGATTGTGTGCTATATAATTAGATCTGGGATTTAATGCTCATGTTCCAAGTTAGTTGACCTTTGAGAAATCACTTATCTTCGTTGAACCTTACTTTCCTTATCTGTGAAATGAGGAAACAGCAATAATCCTCAGATTGTAGTTAACATTAAATGGTTTATGCAGAACATGTTTTGCATAGTGCCTGATACAAAATCAATATTGCTGCAAAACATGCATATATGTTTCAGTGGGTTTGAAATTTAATTAAATGTCACAAAGACAGAAAGAGGAAGTTAAGATGTTGTCTGTGCACATATCTCTTTAAAATGTGATATGGTGTTTCCAAGATCCTTTGAGGGAGTACATGAGATCAAAACTTCCTAATAGCTTTATGGTATTTGCCTTTTTCTCTCATTCTCTTGAGTGTACAATGAAGTTTTCCGGAGACTCCCTAACGTGATGACATCACTCAGATGGCTAATTGAAAGTTTGCTTAGTCTTCCAAAAGTTTTCAGCTCTCATTTCTCAAATGATAAATACTGATCAATATAATCCTCATAAGTAAGTTCTTTGAGAGCTTAAGTAATTGTTAAAACTACAAAGGGATACATAGACATAGGGCAAATGTTTGAAAACTGTTGGTGTGTGAGGTGCACTATCTCTGTAGTTTGTGCTGTTGTTCACTTTTCTTTTCTTTTTCTTTTTTTTTTTTTTAAGATTTGTTTATTTGAAAGAGTTACACAGAGAGAAGGAGAGGCAGAGAGAGAGAGAGAGTGAGGTCTTCGTCCACTGGTTCACTCCCCAATTGGCCGCAACGGCCGGAGCTATGCTGATCTGAAGCCAGGAGCCAGGAGCTTCCTCCGGGTCTCCCACGTGGGTACAGGGGCCCAAGGACTTGGGCCATCTACCATTTCTTTCTCAGGTCTTAGCAGAGAGCTGGATCGAAAGAGGAGCAGCTGGGTCTTGAACTGGCGCCCATATAGTATGCCGGCACTACAGGCCAGGGTGTTAACCTGCTGTGCCACATGCTGACCCCCAGTATATAATTTTTTTTTTGAATTGCTGCTTGTTACTGGTTTTTACTTGTATTACATTATGGTCAGATAATATGGTTTAAATGATGTTGACTTTTTTTTTTTTAAAGATTTATTTGTTTATTGAAAGTCAGAGTTACACA